TGGACATGTATTACCGAAGTGAATAAAATGTTATTAATTTCCTCATGGGGACACGGTGAAACCCCTTTTTTAATTGTATTGTAATTTTTTAGTGTTTTGGCTTTTTAATTTTAAAACTAATACTCACGGTTGTAAAGCCTAACCTGAGTAAAGTCTTTGACTTCATAATTAATAAAAAATTGGTACATTAGAATTCTCTTGAGTATTTTTTGTTTCTGTGCTGCTCTTATGTGTAGGTGGTTACTTTGGGGAGAAAAGGTCAGGATTTTTACTGCAGTGCTTGGAGATTTTGTCTTTATCAAATTGTCCTTTGTTGTTAGCAAAGATCTCAAATGTTAAGAGTAACATTATGTGACGTTTCTTTTTAAGGGAATGCTTTTATAGATATGACATAGAGTCTAATAAAAAAGGAGGTTAAATCTTTCTGTGCATTTACTGTCTACTGTTTCTCTATTGTAGTGCGGTTGGCACATTTGCTCGAGCATTGGACTGCAGTAGTTCGGTCAGGCAGCCTAGTTTACACATGAGTGCAGCCGCTGCTTCCCGAGACATCACACTGGTAGGTTGCTTGTTAAAAACCCTACAATTTTTTTTACATCTGTGAATTCAACAATATTACTCCAGAGTCCCTGTCCTCTGGTTATCTGTTTTCCTTTAGATACCTGCATGCAAGGTGCCTGTGTGTATTGTAGATAATCCTGTGTGTTTTCTGTAAGCGTGTTGGTGCTGTCCTTGTAATCATACTGTAAATCACATGACTTTAGCTGAAATCTATTTAAATATAATATATGTCATAATTTCCACAGCAGGGCAGATAATATACATTGTGTAGGGATTCACTTGGTACAATTGATCAATAGTATGATTTAAAGCATGCAGTAATCAAGATGGTTGAAAATTGTTTAGATAATATTTTATACTTACTATACCTGTGTGTTAGTAAATTTTCTAAAGTATAAGCAATCAGACTGTGTAAGCAACTTTTTGAAGAACATTTTACTTAGAATATCCTTAGGATGTTTCCATAGTTTGTCGAAGTATTTGCTGTAATATAAGTCACTTGCATCTTTTAGAGGAAGTTAAAAATACATCAGTTACAGACCAAAGTTTTGTCTCTGTATATTCATATTAACTGAGATGTCAAGATGTGCTACCGTAATAAAACTGTACCAGGAAAACTGTGTGAGAGAAAAAAAGCTTACTGCTTCATCGAATCAAGTTTGACTTAGATTTCCAAAGACATCAGCAGTTGTTGTTTATTATTTTAAGTATTTCTGTATAGAATCATGAAGATGATGGTTAAGGCTAACGTAGATTTCCTATTCATCAGATACTTCAGTATCTGAACTTACTGAAACTAACAGATCAGTTTGAAATAGTTAAGAAACTGCCTTATATGGTGGCTAGAGAGCCGCTGGAATTTAGTGCCACAATTTTTTTGTAGGCACAGACAATATCAGCAGGTTAAAAAAGGGGTTAGAAAAATTATGGACCGTGGGTCCATAAACGGATACTGAGGAGAATAATTCCAAAGGTTTGTAGATGCTGGTGAATGAAATGGGAATTGACCTCTGACTGTGATTAAATTTACTTATTTTCTCTTAAGTAACAGATACTGGTGTCAGAGACAGAACTTTGGCTAGATAGATGGCTGGTCTGATTCAGTAGGGCAGTTCTTATATTCCAGATAAACCATGTTTATTAGTATGAGGAGAAAAATATTTAATTTCTTACATTTTTCAGTGTACTCACAGGCTATTAAACAGGAAACTGATTTAGTGTGCACTACAGACTAGCATAGTAAAGGCAGTGGCAAAACGTCATGTTTTCAGTAATGCTCAAAATGAGTTTTCTGTTTCACACTTGCTGATATGACCTCACCAGCATAATTCTGTTCACATTAAATGTTTTATTTTTTTTCCATCAAAATAGTTTTTTTAGTTTAACTTTTTTCATTTTATTGAGACTGCATTGGATGAAGAATTTCTAATAAATCCCACGCATTGTGCATCCTTCGTACTGTATTCAATGATTAATAAAATAGGTTCATCCTTATAGCACTTTCTTTTTGTTTGAAAGTACATGTGCAGTGCTGCTAATAAAGGGATACATTTAGTGTTTGAGTGCCATATAAATGTTTCTGCATTGCAAATGATCCATTAAGTTCCATTACACTTAATGAAAGGCATATCTTATAATGAGGCACCAGAGGAGTCACCCCAGGTTTAATTATTGTGTCTGTCTGTTCTCATTTTCCTACCCCCTCAGCTTTTAAAAACCCTTCTCTTTTGCTCTTTGGCAATGTACTTCCTTCTAAGTTAAGAAAAGACATATTTGTCATTATAGTAGTTATTCTTTCAGACATTCCCATGTTAATTGGGAGCATATTTTGAGCAGGAGTTAAAGTTAGTACAGACGTTTGCAGAACTTGTGGTGTATCTTATGCTTTGAAAGGGTTGTGGGTGCATAACACTGAGAAAATTATACTGTCTGTATTCTTCATGCAAAGCAGATAACTCTTGCACCTGAAGTGCTATTAATGGGATTTCTGTTCACCACACCTCTGGCTTTCCAGTATTCCTAACTAGTTGTTTCAATTAGAAATGACTGTAAACAGACTGATTAAAAAAAATGCAATAAATGTATAGGTTATAAGCATGAGTAAATTCAGGGTGGATGTACACATTAGGGAGGTCGCAGCTTAAGAGCAAGTGAGATGCTACTTTCAGGCTTCCTTATTTTGAAAACACGGGAAAGGTGATGAGACGGAGCAGGAAACAACCAATGCTTTTAGAAAACCCTACTGAAAGACATGAAATTATGTCTGTTTACCTTCTTAGATGATAGTAAATGTTCTTTTCTTGCAGTGATAAAGACTTGTGAGGCAAACAAATTGCACTTCTGGCTTTCTCAGAGGCAGTGTTTTATTTTATAATTAAAATTGATCTCTGAGAAGAGAAGGAAACTGGGAAGACTTCCTGTTCCAGATTCCTAAACACTGCGTAGTGTATATACTGATGATGAGAGCCATTAAAGAAAAGCAGGTTGATGG